CATTTCACCACCATGTGATCATCATACGCTCACCATATGATCATCATACCACCACCATATGATCATGAGACCGCCAACATCTTGACGGACGGACGGGCTGGCCACCTGACCCCGGCCACACACACACCACACATACCACACACACACACACCACACACACCACACACACCACACACACCAAACACACCACACACGCGACACACACCACACACACCACACAAACCACACACACCACACACACCAGAAACACCACACACCACACACACACACCACACACACCACACACACACACACATCAGCGCACACCACTGCTCACACCATCACCACCAGAACTCCACCACCACCGCTTAGGGTACGGACGGACGGACTGTCCGGCCACCAAACCCCAGATAGCCCTAGTAGTAGTAGTTGTAGTTGTAGTAGTAGTAGTAGTAGTAGTAGTAGTAGTAGTAGTAGTAGTAGTAGTAGTAGTAGTAGTAGTAGTAGTGGTAGTAGTAGTCGTAGTAGTAGTAGTAGTAGTAGTAGTAGTAGTAGTAGTAGTAGTAGCAGCAGCAGTAGTAGTAGTAATAGCAGTAGTGGTAGTAGTAGTAGTAGTAGGAGTAGTGGCACAAGTAGTCGTAGTAGTGGTGGTAGTAGTAGTAGTAGAATGTGTAGTCGCAGTAATAGAAGCAGAACCAGTAGGACTAATGTGAGCATATGATTAAAAAATACCCCACCCCCCCCCCTCCCCCGGGGGGCCCTATCCGTGAAGAGTTGGGCGTACTACTAGAATCTGGGGGCCGAAACTGATTTTTTAATCGTCCCCCCCCAGCAACTTTAATCGTCCCCCCCCTTTCCCCCTGAAGATTCTCGATTTTCCCAAGGAGGAGGAAGGGAGGAAGGAGGGAGGAGGGACGGAGGAGGGAGGAGGGAGGGAGGAGGGAGGAGGGAGGAGGGAGGGAGGAGGGAGGAGGGAGGGAGGGAGGAGGGAGGAGGGAGGAGGGAGGAGGCCTCCCTCCTCTCCTCCCTCCTCCCTAGGGAGGAGGGAGGAGGGAGGGAGGGGGGAGGGGGGAGGGAGGCGAGGCAGGGCGGGAGGAGGGAGGTGGGAGGGAGGAGGGAGGAGGGAGGAGGGCTGGGGCCCGAAACTGATTTTTTAATCGTTCCCCCCTTTCTCCTTCCCTCCAGCGTTTGTTTGTTCGCTCGTCGCGTAGACACATATTGTGATGGCCACAAGAAACAATTCAAGTGATTCGCTCCCGCCCAAGTGGTGTCCCGCCCAAGTGATTCGCCCCCGCCCAAGTGATTCGCTCCCGCTCAAGTGATTCGCTCCCGCCCAAGTGATTCGCTCCCGCCCACTACTACTACTACTACTACTACTACTACTACTACTACTACTACTACTACTACTACTACTACTACTACTACTACTACTACTACTACTACTACTACTGCTACTGCTACTACTACGACTACGACTACGACTACTACGACAGGGAGGGAGGGAGGAGAGAAGGGAGGAAGAAGGAGAGGGGAATGAGGAAGAAGGAGGGAGGGAGGAGGGAGGAAGAAGAAGGGAGGGAGGAGACAGGGAGGGAGGAGGAGGAGGGAGGGAGGGAGGAGGGAGGGAGGGAGGGATACAGAGAGGGAGGGGGAGGAGGAGGGAGGAGGAAGGAGGGAGGGGGGGAGGAGGGAGGGAGGGAGGAGGGAGGAGGGAGGAGGGAGGAGGGAGGAGACAGGAGGGAGGGAGGAGGGAGGAGGAATTGAGGGAGGAGGGAGGCCGGAGGGAGGAGGGAGGAAGGAGGAGCGGAAGGAGGAGGGAGGAGGGAAGGGCCGACCCCGCCCGCTCCGCATTGCCTGCCCTCGCCCCCCCCCTGGCCCTCCAGACGGCCCGGGGGGCAACCATAATTGTCCCCCGGAGAACTTTATTTGTTCGCCCTGGGGGGGCCCTCCGTGGGCGGCGCCCCCTCCCCCCCTTATGTGGGCCCAACCAGGCCGGCGAAACTATTTTTTTAAACGTCCGCCCTCAAATGTTTTTTTAATCATATGCTCACATTAGCTGCCGCAGGAATTGTAGCAGTAGTACTGCTAGTAATCGTACTGGTAGTAGTAGTAGTAGTAGTAGTAGTAGTAGTAGTAGTAGTAGTAGTAGTAGTAGTAGTAGTAGTAGTAGTAGTAGTAGTAGTAGTAGTACTGGTAGTAGTAGTAGTAGTAGTAGTCGTAGTCGTAGTCGTAGTCGTAGTCGTAGTCGTAGTAGTAGTAGTAGTAGTAGTACAAAAAGTAGCAGTAGCAGTAGCCGTAGTCGTAGTCGTAGTCGTAGTAGACTTCGTCGCAGTAGTAGTAGTAGTAGTAGTAGTAGCAGCAGTAGTAGTAGTAGTAGAACTCGTACTATTAGTAGTAGTAGTGGTAGTAGTAGCACTTGTAGTTTTAGTAATAGCAGTAGCAGTAGTAGTAGCAGTAGTAGTAGTAGTACTAGTAGTAGAGGTAGTAGTAGCAGTAGCAGCAGTAGCAGCAGTAGAAGTTTTAGAAGTAGTAGTAGTAGTAGTAGTAGTAGTAGTAGTAGTAGTAGTAGTCGTAGTAGTAGTAGTAGTAGTAGTAGTAGTAGTAGTAGTAGTAGTAGTAGTAGTATCAGGAGTAGTAGTATTAGTAGTAGGGGTAGATTAGTAGTAGCATTGGTACTAGTAGTACAGTAGTAGTAGTAGTAGTAGTAGTAGTAGTAGTAGTAGCAGTCGTAGTAGTAGTAGTAGTAGTAGTAGTAGCAGTAGTAGTAGTAGTAGTCGTAGAAATAGTAGTAGTAGTAGTAGTAGTAGTAGGAGGAGTAGTAGGAGTAGTAGGAATAGTAGGCGTAGTTGTAGTAGTAGTAGCAGTAGTAGTAGTAGTAGTAGTAGTAGTAGTAGTAGTAGTAGTAGTAGTAGTAGTAGCGTTCGTAGTAGTAGTAAGAGCAGCGGTTTATTATTATTAGTATTATTGTTATTAGTAATATTATTGTTAATATTATTATTAGTATTAGTAGTAGTAGTAGTAGTAGTTCGTGTTGTTGTTGTTGTTGTGATCGCAGCTGTAATACAGCAGCTCCTCCCCCCTCCCCTCCGTTTCCCCTTCTCTGTCTCTCCCCAGCTTGCCGGAGCATCGGGCCCGAGCTGCCGCCGGCTCCCCGGCCGACCGGCCCTGCGCCCGTCTGGGGACCCATCGCATCCGCAGGGGGGTCCTGTGCAGCACCACCGTGCCCGGCCACGCCCATCCAAGGCCAAGGGATGAATACAGACCTTCCTCCCCTCCTCTTCCTCCTCCTCCTCTTGCTCCTCCTCCTCATCCGACTCCTCCTCCTCCTCTTCCTCCTCCGCCTCCTCCTCCTCCACCTCTGAGGGTGGGGGAGACGGAGATCACGTGGACGCAACTTTGACAGTACTTTTGCGATTTCGTGGACTTTTTTTCGTTTCCCGTTTTGCAGCAAGGGCGGGAGGAAGACTGAGCGAGGGAAAACGTGACTGTAGCAAAACTGAGAGCATTGCTGCGGTGCCAGAAACAAACCTCCGCGTCGCCGCGACAGGAACAAGCCTCAGCGGCGAGCGAGGAGGGAAGATGCGAAGGGGGAGGCTTTTTCAGAAGGCGGCGTGACTATTCAGAAGCCCTCGCGCCTTCTGAAAAGCATGCTGCGTCTTCGGAAAGTTTGGAAGACTTCTCAGAAGCACGGGGGGGCTTCAAAGCCTTCTGAGAAGGCCCGCCCCTTCTCGTTTCCCCCCTGGGCGCGCCGCCTAAAGCCGTACACCATGCCATGGCCCAGGGTGACCCTGGCTGGGCATTGTGGTGGTGTATATAGGTGCCTTCCGCGTACCTCTCAGCAGCGGGCGCCCGTGGGGCGCGCGGGGGGGGCCCATGCAGCGCGCCTGGCTACGGGAGTTCAATGGCGTGGGGCTGCAGCTGCGGCCGGCGGCGGCGAAGTTGGTGACGCAGTTCCTCACGACGTGCTCACGATCGACGAACGGAGCCACCTCCATCCCCTCGCGGTCTGGACGCCGAGGCCCGCTCCCACACACACGCGCTCCCATGGGCGCGAAGGCGCGCGGCTGGCATCTGTACGCAGGGCCGCCACGCATCCGTGGGGTCGCGGCCGTGGAGTGCAGACCGGGAGGCCGTGGATCGGAGGCTGGGTGAGAACACGGATGCCTCGCATTGGTTACGTTGCTCCCATCGCAATTGAGGACTGCATCCCAGAAGTAATTTCGAGCACCCCGAACAAATGTCGAAACAGTGTCTGCCCGACACGCTAGCGAAGTGTCGAACGAGCATCGCCTCGCAGGGCCCGACACGTGAAAACCTTGCAGTTCCGATACTTTCTCGGTGCTCGAAGTCATTTCTGGTGATCAAGGCTGAAGCAGGTTGGAAAGTCGTAACCCATTCGGGACATCGGGTTCAGGTTTGGCTCGTCTCTTGCGAGCGGGCGAGGCGAAGCTGCGCGAACGCGATCATGGTGGGGGGGCCCTCGCTGGGGCCGAATCGGGCCAGGGAGGTTCAGAGCCCGTCCCCAGGAGGCACGCAGCCCATGGCTGTCCCGTGGGTTGTTCCATGGGTTACCACGTGGTTTCAGCGTTGCCCCAACGTACTTATACTATATGTGCGTCGCTCCGGCAGGGGCGACGCGCGCAACAAGAAATCTAATAGTATAGGCGTCGTGACCGGCGCTTCCTGGCAACACTGCTCGGGAAACGATATACTACAAGATGGGTATACTATATTTTCGGATTGGACGCGCGCCTCCAAGGAGCACATATAGTACTCGTATGTCTTTGAGCTTCCCCTGGTTGGCCTGTGGTTGTCCCGTGGACGTCCCGCCCGCGGAGTCTTTTGTGGCTGGCTCGCCAGGAATTCAAGGTGAACTTTGAATCCAACTGCAATCGAAAGCCGCATCCGAATGCAAGACCTATTGCAGTCGAACTATCGACGTCAACTTGCAATCGGCATGCAGATGAAATTTTCAGTCCACTTGCAATCGACATGCAAAGCCACTTGCAATCGTAATGTAAATCAACCTGCTAAGCGACTTGCAAGTTTACGTCCAAACGAAATGTCAATTGCAGCCCAAGTGCAACGCCAATTGAAGTCGAAACGCAAGTCGAAGTACAAAGCAACATATTGTTCGAAGTGCACGTCGATCTCTTGACGTACACGCATACCGAATTGCCAAGCGGAATGCCAGTTCCCCGCGAGGTGCGATGACCCGACCTCTGTCGCAGAGGCCCTAGTCGCGCACACGAAGACCTACACTCGGCAGCTCTCTGGCGTGACGGCGGCGTTCATCGATCAGGACGTGATCCAGCCCGTACCTCAGAGCTCTGGCAGGGCTCGTTTCGATTCCTCAGATTCGATTCGATTCGACTTCGATGGATTCCGCTCCCGATTCGATTCGATTCCGGATTCCGATTTGGGCTCCGATTTCTTATTGGACGCATGTTAGCTTGCCGATTTCCGCTGATTCGACTTCCCTCGACTCGGCTGCCGATTTCCTCCGATCCGACTTATTTTGATCGCCGATCCGATATATCGATTCGATTCTGGGCTCTCCTGCAAGGGCAGCACAGTTGCATGCGATGGGATCGGGCGGGCCCGATGATTGTGCGGTCCGTCGGACCCGATCGCGCACTTGGCAAACATTAAACATCTGAGGTCCCCTCGGATTTTCCAGATCGGTGCTGGACCCCCCTCCCTGGCGCGCGGAGCGCGCTGGGGACGGCGCCAGAGGCGTCGCACGGGAGCCCCAGCGCCGATCCGAGGAATTCGCACGTACCTCCGAGTTGTTGTATGTTTATGTCATTGTTTCCTCCCCTGTCGGGAGATCTCTCGCTGATTGCGCAAGACCTTGGATCGGCGTCACCCCAACATCTTTGTCCTATATGTGCGTCGCCCCCCCAGGGGCGACGCGCGCAACGAGAAATCGTCGCTCCCCCAGGGTCGGACGCGCGCCTCCAAGGGGGACGCGTAGTACTGTTATGTCGCTGCGCCTCCCATGGGAGCTTGGCCAGGTGGCCACAGTTCAGCGGAGCACGAAGTCTTTATATGAATAGTTTAAAAGAGTTCCAGGTTTTCCTGTTTTCCGTTCGGGCTCCAGGGACGAATGGTCGAGCGCATTCCGTCGCGCAGGTTCTTTGCGCGATGTGCGTGGTGCATTTTTCGCGCGTCGGAGCGCCCTCGGAGAGTTCAGGCTGCATTCTGTTTTGCTCCTGGGGAGTCCGCGAGTCGCAGCTGCTGGGGCGCGATGTCCGAGGCAACCCCTCGGAATGCTGTTCGCGTGCGCAGGGCGGGGCGCGCGCTGCGCCCAGTCGCCGCAGAACTTCTGGGCGGGACCGTCAGTCCCGCCCAGAAGTTCCGAGGTTGACCCCGCCGGCGGCGAGATGCCCATACAGGGGCCCCAGGAGGAGGAGGAGGAGGAGGAGGAGGAGGAGGAGGAGGCGAAGGAAGAGGAGGAGGAGGAGGGCCCACGGCTCCGCACCCGCCCCGCGGCCGTTGGGGCCGCCCGCCCCCCCCCCCCCGCGCCGTCCCCCATTGCAGCTGCTTCGGCCTTCCGCGCCGACGTCCTGCACGCCGTCGCCCTCGGTCCGGTGCAGCGCTGCCTCCTCTCTGCCGAAGGGAAAGATCAGGGGCATCGATCGGGGGGGGCAGGGATAAGGGGGGGCATCGCCATGGAATCGGCGATGCATCGCCTGTTGATCGGCGACGGGCCTCCGATAGTGAATCCGCACCCTCTTGGGCAGGCTGGGCTATCGGGCCCCTATCGGCGATCCATGAGCGATTCGGGCTGGATGCATCCCCCCAAAGCCCTATGCCTATTCGAAGGAAAAATCAGGGGCAACGATAGGGGGGGGGATAGGCATAGGGCCAAGGGGGGGATGCATCGAGCCCCAATCGCCCATGGATCGCCGATGGGGGCCCGATAGCCCCAGCCTGCCCAGGAAGGTGCGGATTCACTATCGGAGGCCCGTCGCCGATCTATAGGCGATGTATCGCCGATTCTAGGTCGATGTGCCCCCCCATCCCTGTCCCCCCCGATCGTTGCCGCTCATCTCTGTCGAAGGAAAACAAATAAACACGGCATAAACATAAGCTGTTGGCGCTCTGCTCGGTTCTCTTGGATCTGCGCTGGGCCCCCTGGCAGCGCCTCTGGCGCGCCGCCCCTGGCGCGCTCCGCGCGCCAGGGAGGGGGGTTGGTGCGCAGGTTCAAGAAATCCGCGCGGAACGCCAATCATTTATGTTTGTGCCGTTTTTTCTTCTTCGATTATGGTGGTGCCGACGCCCTTCTCCATCACGAAGACTCGTTTTGGCGTGCACCATGGTAGTCCTCGCAGGGATGGAGGCGCCGTCGAAAGGCGTCCCGTGCCATCGTCACGGCAACTCGGCGCACCGCGCGGCATCTTTGCTAGGGGGTCGAGAACTTGGGAAAATCGACGCACCCAATTCCGTCGGTCTCAACTAGGGAAATAACGTAGCACCCCGCAATTGCGGATGAGAGTGAGGGGGCGGGCGCGGGCGACGCGGGCGTCGTCGAGCCGGCGGACCTCGTGGCCCCCACCTTCCTTGTCGATGGCGCTCTCCTCCTCCTCCTCCTCACCCTCATCCGCCACGCTCCACCTCCTCCTCATCCTCATCCTCCTCCTCCTCCTCCTCGTCCTCGTCCTCGTCCTCATCGTCATCGTCATCCTCCTCCTCCACCTCGTCGTCCTCCTCCTCCTCTTCTTCCTCGTCCTCCCTCTCCCCCCCTCGTCCTGTCATCATCGTCCTCCCATTGTCGTCCTCCCCCTCATCGGCCTCCATCATCGTCCTCCCAGCATTGGTTTGTTCAGTGAACGTGGTTTAGGTCGCGGGTGGGTCGCGGGCTCTCCACCTCCACCTGGAAGGAATGCAAAAGCAGCCCGCCGCAGGCGCCAAAAAAATGTGGTTTGTACACTGAACGTGGTTTGGGTCGCGGGTGGGCCGCGGGTTCTCCACCGGGAACGAATGCAAAAGATGCCCGCCGCAGGCGCCGAAAAATATGGTTTGTACCCTGAACGTGGTCGCGGGTGGGCCGCGGGCTCTCCACTTGAAACGAATGCAAAAGATGCCCGCCGCAGGCGCCGAAAAATGTGGTTTGTACCCTGAACGTGGTTTGGGTCGCGGGTTGGTCGCGAGTTGGTCACGGGGTGGGACGCGGGCTCTCCACCTGGAAGGAATGCAAAAAAAACCCGCCGCAGGCGCCGAAAATTGTTGTTTGTACCTTGAACGTGGTTTGGGTCGGGGGTGGGTCGCGGGTGGGTCGCGGGGTAGGTCGCGGGTGGGTCGCGGGTGGGTCGCGGGTGGGTCGCGGGTGGGTCGCGGGTGGGTCGCGGGGTGGGCCGCGGGGGGGTCGCGGGGTGGGTCGCGGGTGGGTCGCGGGGTGGGTCGCGGGGTGGGTCGCGGGGTGGGTCGCGGGGTGGGTCGCGGGTGGGTCGCGGGTGGGTCGGGTGGGTCGCGGGGTGGGTCGCGGGGTGGGTCGCGGGTGGGTCGCGGGGCGGGTTGCGGGTGGGACGACGACAAACAACAACAACAACAACAACAACAACAACAACAACAACAACAACAACAACAACAACAACAACAACAACAACAATTACTAGCACGTGGGGACACTCCGTTCTCACCAGTGCCAGGGTTTTCATAGGAGGCGGGCAATACCCCCACTTTGTGGGGGGGCCGGTTCAAGCTCTACCAAATTTCCAAACGACTCTTCGCCACCACCCACACCCAGCTTCCCGCCCTATGACGTTCGGACACTTCACTTCGTGGCATGCGGACGACCGTGGCTACTATTCAGGGCCCCGCGGCCGACGACGACGGCGTGCGCGCGCGAAGAAAAAACGAATGTGTCCCGCATGGTATTATTTGACAGGGATGATGGCCCTGGCAGGTGCGCAACCGTTGTCGCAGAAGTTCGAAAAAGTTGCTCGCAAAAGCCCGTTTGACAGAAATGTTTAAAAAGTGTTGGGTTTCCTACGAATCCGCAAGAGCGCGCGGGATGAGATTTTGACATTTTTTTGTTGAAAAACCATTGGTTTTTTGATGTTTTTATGTTAAAATCGCTCCGAACACTAAGCTTTTGGAAGGATTTCGTCTTGCGCGCGCGAATGTCCACTTTACCTTATTTTTTGCAAGGGATTCTTGAAATTTGATTATATTAGAACAAGAAATGTCATTTTATATTGTTTTTTGCAAGGGAAAGCGGATTACAACAAAACAACCGGATCCTGTACACACCCTCTTTTCTGAGGCTTCCTCACGAAAATGATGAAAATGTAGCTGCGGCCTAGGCGGCGCAGGGGGGGCGCGCACCAGGGGGCCCAACAATAATTATTCTTTAGAATAAATAATGTTCAACAACAACAACAACAACAACAACAACAACAACAACAACAACAACAATTACTAGCACGTGGGGACACTCCGTTCTCACCAGTGCCAGGGTTTTCATAGGAGGCGGGCAATACCCCCACTTTGTGGGGGGGCCGGTTCAAGCTCTACCAAATTTCCAAACGACTCTTCGCCACCACCCACACCCAGCTTCCCGCCCTATGACGTTCGGACACTTCACTTCGTGGCATGCGGACGACCGTGGCTACTATTCAGGGCCCCGCGGCCGACGACGACGGCGTGCGCGCGCGAAGAAAAAACGAATGTGTCCCGCATGGTATTATTTGACAGGGATGATGGCCCTGGCAGGTGCGCAACCGTTGTCGCAGAAGTTCGAAAAAGTTGCTCGCAAAAGCCCGTTTGACAGAAATGTTTAAAAAGTGTTGGGTTTCCTACGAATCCGCAAGAGCGCGCGGGATGAGATTTTGACATTTTTTTGTTGAAAAACCATTGGTTTTTTGATGTTTTTATGTTAAAATCGCTCCGAACACTAAGCTTTTGGAAGGATTTCGTCTTGCGCGCGCGAATGTCCACTTTACCTTATTTTTTGCAAGGGATTCTTGAAATTTGATTATATTAGAACAAGAAATGTCATTTTATAGTGTTTTTTGCAAGGGAAAACGGATTACAACAAAACAACCGGATCTGGATCACATCGTTTTACCTGAGGCTTCCTCACGAAAATGATGAAAATGTGGCTGCGGCCTAGGCGGCGGGGGGGGCGTGCACCAGGGGGCCCAACAATAATTATTCTTTAGAATAATAATGTTCAAACAACAACAACAACAACAACAACAACAACAACAACAACAACAACAACAACAACAACAACAACAACAATTACTAGCACGTGGGGACACTCCGTTCTCACCAGTGCCAGGGTTTTCATAGGAGGCGGGCAA